AGAATATTGTATATAAAGATTTTTCTAGCTAGATAGAATATTGTATAGATAGAATAATATAAAGATTTTCTAGCTAGATAGAATATTGTATATAAAGATTTTTCTAGCTAGATAGAATATTGTATATAAAGATTTTTCTAGCTAGATAGAATATTGTATATAAAGATTTTTTCTAGCTAGATAGTATATAAAGATTTTCTAGCTAGATATATAAAAGATTTTCTAGCTAGATAGAATATTGTATATAAAGATTTTTCTAGCTAGATAGAATATTGATATATTTTTCTAGCTAGATATATAGAAAGATTTTTCTAGCTAGATAGAATATTGTATATAAAGATTTTTCTAGCTAGATAGAATATTGTATATAAAATATTGATTTTTCTAGCTAGATAGAATATTGTATATAAAGATTTTTCTAGCTAGATAGAATATTGTATAAAGATTTTTCTAGCTAGATAGAATATTGTATATAAAGATTTTTCTAGCTAGATAGAATATTGTATATAAAAGATTTTCTAGCTAGATAGAATATTGTATATAAAAAGATTTTTCTAGCTAGATAGAATATTGTATATAAAGAATTTTTCTAGCTAGATAGAATATTGTATATAAATATTGATATTTTCTAGCTAGATAGAATATTGTATATAAAGATTTTTAGCTAGCTAGATAGAATATTGTATATAAAGATTTTTCTAGCTAGATAGAATATTGTATATAAAGATTTTTTTCCTAGATAGAATATTGCTAGATAGAATATTGTATATAAAGATTTTTTTTTTCTAGCTAGATAGAATATTGTATATAAAGATTTTTCTAGCTAGATAGAATATTGTATATAAAGATTTTTAGCTTTATTTTATAAAAAGATTTTTCTAGCTAGATTTTGTATTATTTTCTAGCTTTTATTTATATAAAGATTTTCTAGCTAAGAATATTGTATTAAAGATTTTCTAGCTAAGAATATTGTATATAAAGATTTTTCTTTAGATAATATTTAATATAAAGATTTTTCTATTGAATTAATCTTATAGAGACTAAATTTAATAGGCTATTTTGTGATTAATCTACCTTATTTGTTAAGAATTCAATATAAAGTGGATACTTATTTTAAAATAGCTAACTCCTGTTCTATAGAGACTAAATTTAATAGGGCTATTTTGGTAAGGATGCTTGTACGCGAGTATCTTTTTACTCCTGTTCTATTTACTAAGTGCTTGTTCTTTTGTGTTCATTTACATCTGTTTGTATACGGTTGTTCATGTTTACACCCACATATATGTGTGTGTGTGTGTGTATATATATATATATATATATATATATGTGTGTGTGTGTGTGTGTGTGTGTGAGAGTAAGTTTATGTATTTGCATACTGATTTTCCATGTTTGTGCAATTTTGGTGGATAGTTTGCATTGTCTCTGTAGTTATGTTGGATGACCGAGTCTTAATGAATATTTGCCGTTAGTATATCCGCGTGCTCATATATTCAATCACATTTATGTGGTCGTCTATTATGATGTGATGTCTGTATGTCTAGTCACAAATAAACCTTTCTCCCTAGTCCACTAAATCTATCATCAGGACACTGACAATATAACTGACTGTAGCCATATATTGTACCTCTTACTACCACTCCGGTTAGGACAAAAAATTTAACCTATTTCTAAGAACCATATATGAAAATTTAGGCATTTTTTCTCAGTTTTTTTTTTTCTATGAATAATTTTGTTATTTTCTGAACTTGATGCATGGCTACATTTAGAGTTTATTATTCATGACTTATTTTTTAATTACAAATATTGGAGGAGATTAATTAGTTATCCTGATTTCCTATAAAATTTAATACTTATTTTAAAGCATTAATAAATAGTATCTAGGGTCCATCATTGTGTTAATTATCATATACTTGTAATTTGATTGGCCAACACATCTTACGTAAAACTATTTCCTCCAGTGGGTGTAGTGGTTGGTTTTGAATTCTTTAAAAAACTATTTTACTTGCAACACCATCCCTTAAGACACCAAAAGTGTTGAAACAAAATTACTATTTTTGTAGTGATGTTATAACAAACTTATGTTATAATTTTTAAATAAATATTATTTGCTCTACTCTGTATTGAGCACTTTTTTTTTTTTTTTAAATAGTGTTTTTGGTTACTGGTAGTTTATTCCATGTATACCAACCTTATATTCAGAGATTATATATATATATATATATATATATATATATATAAGCCGACTGACCAAGTTTCAAAAAAGCTAATTCTTTGAAACTATTCTGCATAAGAAACCATGCAAATCTGACAGATGTGTCTATGTAAGGAATTTAATCTCAACAGTTTTAGAGATCATATTTTTACATTGGGAGAAGTATTTTATCACTTATTTTGTTTCATTTGGTAAGTCTAGTGGACAAGTATATGACCATACCTAGTTATACTAAGTTATCTCCAAGTTAATATTCAGATTTAGTTTCTTATGAACCTCCTCAACCTAATTTATTGAAACTTTCTTAATTAGTCCTTTTCCTATCATTTATTCCAATACTCATTACACAGTCAAGCTTACTTTCATGTACTTCAAGGAATACCAGGAAACTACAACAATCTACATTTAACTGTTTCTTGATCAGTGTCAAACCTTCTCAGAGTTTGGGCCTGTATGAGTGGGCCAGTACCCACTTAAGAAAAATATTTGAAAATTCAGGAATTATTTTATTAATAAGCCATTTTGCTTTGTTTAATCACTCATTGAATGACTAAATTCATCAAAGTGATTAAAGAATTTTATAATTTACGACATGAGAGTCAAGATAATTACGTATCAAGACAAAATAACTTTCTAGAGCAAAGAAAAAGAAAAAAAATACTATTGATAAGGCAAGTGACAAGTAGAACATATCCAATACTCAACCTAAAAGCACACTAAATCAAAAGAGTATCTACTCTATAAATTAATAATGGCTAATTTTGGTTAGAAATAAGTGTTATTAGGGCATCAAACCACAAACAGGAAAAAAAAATATAACAGCATCTGACAAACCTCAAGTCTTAACAAAAGGTAAATCCTGCATTGAATATACTCATCTATTAACTCATTTACAACAGTTTGCCAATATCTACTGCAATTACAAAGATGTCTAAATTTAATTTTCCTAACTAGAACATATTTTGCAAATGACTTGGTAACATAAATTAATTCTTTAGAAGGATTTAATTACAATATAAAAAATTCCAAATAAGTTAAACATCAAACAGAACAAAACCAACATTCAAAATGTATAAAATGTTAAGGAATTTTAAAAATCTAACATTTTTATTAATAGCAGGATGCTAATTTAAGCAGGTTGTCAGCAGACTACATTTTCGTTTTGTATTTAAAAAATAATTTGCCTTTTAAAGTATCCATATTAATAGGTAATTAACTGCAGATGATGGAAATTTCTGCTATGAATAACAATTTAAATAAGTGAAAACTAAATGTAGATAGAGAGTAAAAACAATAAAATAAAAATTAAATCCCCAGCACACTTTTAATAATCACTATTGCTAGGTATAACTTCAATCATTACATGAAAGGAAAAATTTTGTATAAAGATTTAAAAATTAGAAAATGCAATTGTGTTGGTGATTAACTGAATGTGAAAATAAAGATAAAAAGCAGAGTAACTAAGATAGTAGAAGGGTTAAATTAGGTGGTGGGACATATTCTGCTATTGTCAAGGATGACAGTTTAGAGCCGGCTCATACCGATTACAGGTGATAAGTCAACATGCTCAGAATTGATGGCCAAGCAGTACCAAGATTGTCTTACTTAATGATTGTTAAAAGAACATAAAAAAAAGGAACAAAAACATTGATAAAATCCTTTTAAGTAGTTCACCTGGGCACAAAATGGAGTTATAATCTGTGCTCTTCAAAAGATAAAAATCTAACAGATGGGCAGGATAATCCACTGGCAAATACATACAGCAGGCAGACTAATATGTAGGTCAGCACCAAAGAAGGACATTTAAGCCTCTGGACAAAATATATTAAGATTATGTTAGCCATATTTGAAAGTTTAATCTTTCACTCCAGTGAGTGAATTATTCTGGAGTACATTAAATTAATTCTGATGAGTTAAAATTGTGCCATTACAAAGGAAACAATAATTCACAACTCCTGATTATTTTTTTTCAATTCCAGCATAAAATATGAATTACATTTTAAAAAGATATTTTAGGAACTATTACAGCAAAAATAACATCACATCATATATTTTAGAAAAAAGATCCTGTCTATTATAGCTATTTTATAGGAATATTAGATTTCATTTTCATGGTTCCCTCAAATTCAAGAGACAATTATAAGCAACATCATCTATGAAAAAAAACATCTTTGAAACAAAAAAGTACATAGAAAAATAGTAAAAAGCTAATTAAAAATTTTGAAAGTAACTTTAAACCATATTCATATAACTCAGGATCTTGAAGCTGGATCAACATTTGACCATAACTTATATTCCATATATAACAAGTTAAAAAAAAAAAAAATTTTTTAAATCACATTGATCTCAGAGAAACAAATATAAAACACTTGGGATGACAAACCATCAGAAATGTTCCTTTAAGGAAATATCATTTAAATTGACATAAAGTTCAGTTTTCCTTGCTATTGTTGAAATGCATATAAGTGAGGACAACAGCAGCATTAAAGAGTAAAATAGTATGCTTATGACACCTACTAAAGGAGTGTTTTGTCAGGTGCAATCAGAAAAAAAAAATCATTTAGCACTTAAATTTGAAGGGGGGAAATGGTGTAAATGTTTTGTGGAAGCAGAGGGAGTGGCGCAGAAACAGAATATCAATAAATGTACAGTTAATTAAATGTAAAAAATACCAAAAGTAATTAAAAAGCTTAGATGATTTAAAAACATGTTAGAAAGTGTTTTGATCAAAAAAGAAATAACAGTAAATTCATCATGAAGAGCAGCAAAGTAAATTTTTTGCACTTACAAATTTCAGCAAGTTCCAGTCAAAAACATAATCATAAGTAAATCCTTGCCGATGGAAGAGGTTTCTAAAGAGCTGCCTCAAGTAGGAATAATCAGGTTTGTCATCAAACCGTAATGATCGACAGAAATTCAAGTAGGTAGCAAACTCCGCTGGAAAATAAAAGTAGGTGCCACTTATGGTATATTTATAATGAAAGTATAGTCTATACTTATTCACAAAAATGACAGAGAAATGTGTTAGTATAAAAAATACACAATAGCAACATTAAAATTTTTCAAAGTTTGTCACACAAATCATCCAATTGTTACATATGGTTGGAGGTTTAACTTGGGATTCTCGCTATTGAGTTCCAGAGTAACCTTAATCTACCATAATTTTATCTTGTCAACAAATTACACGCTAAACAAATATGTATGTCCTATATGCTGAAAAATATATTAAATTTGAGATAAAAAAAAAAAAAAAAAAAAAAAAAAAAAAAAGGAAGTGATACAATACAAAGTGTCAAAAGACAATTTGGTGGGTAGGTCTTATTTTTAAGGATAGCATTTTTTTTTTTTAATATTCATAAAAAAAAAAAAAAAAAAAAAAAAAATTATTTTCAGAAAAAGGAGATGAAAAAATATATCTGAAGCTTAATCTTAAAGTGGGTTAGATGAAGGTAACTATGGTAAAAAGCTTATGTTAACTATTTTAATATAGAAAAGCCTCTCCGGCAGTAGAGGAAATCAGTAAATAAAACTTAAAAAGCAAAATACAAATATAGTGTGTGCATGTTTATGTGCATACACACACTCTCATAAGGCTACCCGGCACCACACAAAGTCTTTCTTCAAATCAGACTAAAGACAAACATTTAAGGAAGTGGCAATGCAAACTATTTTATCTTATATTGTCACTTACAAGGGAAACCTTTACACAGCTCTTCAATTGGTGTTGACATTTTCTTTTCACTTATCCTTTCATATTTCTGTCGTTTGGTTGCTGCTTTCAATCCCTGCCATGGCAAGCTTCCCCTCAAGAAATACATGAAAACATAGCCTAAAGACTCCATATCATCTCGTCTACTTTGCTCTGTAAAAAAAAGACAAAGCGGAAATGGGGAGGGAAAAAAAAAGTACATAGTAAATTTTAAATAGAAATAATAGTCAAACAAATTTTGTGAATTATTGTTGAAAGAAAAAATTCAAGAAAAACAAAAAGACAATAGTGGAACAATTGCAATTGTCAATAAAAAGCACCATCAAAAGAATGCTAGATAAAAAAGTAATACAATAATAAACACAAAATCAAGTTTTAAATTTCATCATTTGTGTTGTGAATTTTTAATCCTTTTTCATTTTTGAGATGTTATTCTAACAAATTTAATATCTAGCTTTCATACAAATCTGTGTGCATAGTTTACACATCAATTACTAACACCAATAGTAAATTATCCAGTCATAAAATGTGTGTATATATATATATATATATATATATATATATATATACACACACGCCTCTGAAAAATTAATTCAAAGGAGCACAAATTTGTGAACAGTGACTACTGCTGCTAATAATGGAAAGCTCTTCTATGAATTATGCCCTCTTGGTCCCTGGCATGTTTATTCAGAGAATAAATATGCAAAAATTTCCCTTCCTCTCTACTGGGTGCTGATAGCTCAGGAGTAAAATCTCCTGCTCATGACAAATCAGTTGGGTTTCGATCCCAGCTTGGGGCTTCTAGCATATTTATTCTCTGAATAAACATGCCAGGGACCAAGAAGGCACAATTCATAGAAGAGCTTTCCATTATTAGCAGCAGTAGTCACTGTTCACAAATTTGTCCTTTATCTCCAGAGAGTTCCCCTGAAATTAATTTTTTTTGTGTGTGTATATATATATATATATATAAAGAAATATAGTCTTAAGGCGTGCTGTATTTATGGGATAAAGTGCTCAATATCAGAGATAGAGCATGTGTAAATATAAAAGTGAACATAGAAGTCACGATTGCATATAGCATGAAACAGACTGTCGCCTCTAAGTGTTGACTTCTATGTTCACTTATATATATATATATATATATATATCTCACCGAGTGTAGAACCTAAAAATTTTCTATACAATATTTGGAATTCTGCACTGACAATTTGCAGTCCATATAAAGTAGACAAACCTTCAAGAATCCTACGGATACACTTGAGCAGATATCCAAAAGTGATTTTGAAAATAGTATCAAAATAAGAAAAAATATATAAAAAAAATTAATAAAAGCTTTAAGAATGTCACAATGGTTTGAGAAAAATTAAGTGTAAGGAACAAGAAAAAGTGGATTGACTAGGAAGAAAATACAAGTTGGTGTTACAAATGTAAACAGAAAAAAATGTAGAATATTAAGCTTTGCTTGTAAGTAACTGAGTGTATTTGTCAAATATGGCTCAGCAGAAATTAAAATCTAAGTAACAATCATTTTAGAGGCCATAAGAAAAATTTCTTTTAAACTAAAATTTTCTAATTTGGATTTCAAAGTATTCAGCCAACAACATCCAGATAAGTTGCTATAGTTTGAAAGACAATGCCTTTGTTAAATGTATTGACCAATCAGAATACTTTATTTCATTGCAGGTGGAAGGAGAAACAAACTTGTTTGATCCTATTAAACCCTAAATAAGGAACAATGTCCACTAGTTTAATCTATCAATCTCATTCATCTCTCCAGCACTGTTATACTATTATAGGCAATATAATTATAGATTGCTTTATATTTGATAAAAGGTGACAAAATAAATGAGAATTAAATTGTAAATTTTTAGACAAGATATAAATAAATAAATACATAAATAAATAAATAAATGTATTACAGGTTGCAATCAAGTAACTTTAAACTAAAAGAGTATATTCATAAAAAAAATGCTTCATATTTTGCAAAGCTAACTATTGCCTACATGCCTGGAAAAAAAAAAAAAAAATTTTTTTTTTAGACATACCAAATTAATGGGATTGCCTCCAGTATCTCCAGGTATTAGTCATAAATTGAGGTTTATCTTTAAAAATGTATACAAACAAAACATACTGAAAGTAATATGGTTGAAACAATGACAACAACAAAAAAATCCAACAAAATCAAAGAATTGATGAAGGTTATAGAATGCCAAGGAGCCCATATTAACATGTAAAATAAGAAACTAATAATTTATTGGGTTAATCAAATATTTGCTTTTCTGGTCTATACCACTTAGATTTATTTATAAATATAAAAGCACACTGTACTTTGCATAATAAAATTTGATACAAAAAAATAAAAATAAAAAAAAAGTGTAGCTATTATAAGCCCAAAGTCATGCAATATAGTGCTCATATAAATATATAAACATAACCTTTTATTGAATAAAATCTGACATCATATAAATCTATAGTAAATTATCTATAGAACATGTGAATCTCACAACAAAGACATCATACCCAACTTGAATCTCAATTTTCAGTTTTCATTTAAGCATCCCTTGTAATTTTCATGTTACTTTACTCTTACACATGTAGAAAATAATTTCCTTAGATTTCCCCATCAAAAAAGGCCAAAAGAGCCTTGTTTTTTTTCTTTTTTTAATGAGTGCATGAATAAATAGAGTAAAATTTCATAGCAATTTAGAAGCAGTGTCAGAACTTAACCAAGAGGCAAATGAAAAATAAAACCAGAAAAATCTTGGCAATATAACATGCAAAATACATGCAAGATTCAAATTATAAAAAAATTAAGGCAAAGCAAGTAGAGAAAAAGATAAAGAAAAAAATAAACAGTACAAAAATCTTAGTCAAACATCAAATCACTTCATCTAGGTTAATAGTTTATCATTAAAATCTTTACTAACAAATGAAATAGTCCTTAATGAAATATACTTGCTCTAAAATTAGAGACAAAAATATATACCTATAATATAAACAATGATATTCCATCATGTTAAGAGAAAATTTAGTTTAAAAGAGAAAAGAACTTTATTCTTTTAGAAAAGAGTCAAAGAATAAAGGTTTCAAAATAGAATCTAAAGCAATTTAAAAATTCCACAGGAAACAATTGTGTTTTAGCCACATAGTATTGAATTAACAGGATTACAATATAGTTTCATATAACATAAAATATTTTTTTTTAATTCTTTGTATTCTAAAAATGTTCATAAGTTTTCAGATACAGAGAAAATTAAAACTAATTAAGAAAAATTTCAATATATATTTTTTTCATATATGGCTGAAATGCATGTGCATAATATTCCCAACTAAAAGCCTGTTTGTAGCTGGAATATTATGAGTATTAACCCAGGGCAGCCTAGTAGTATTTCACAAAGCAACTAGACTTGGACCACTTTAAAATTTACATCAAGTAGCATATGCTTTCCACATCCAGCCAGATATAACATTTGACTGGTTATGGAGGTTTGTAATCTATTTCCCTCTGAGTAATTAATTCCTGTGAACTTTAGATATTTCCAGCTTCAAGTATCTCTAAAACAACAACAAATGCAGTCTTGACATTAACATTTCAGATCTTCATATTTTTCTACCTTTTATAAAAATCCAGTATTGTCTCCAAAAGGAGTAGTTAGCACCACAATTTACTGGTCAGATGATTAAATCTGAATGTTTTAGCTGGAAATGTTTCAGGCTGACAGTTGTTTTTTTTAATTTTTTTCCTTTATAAATACCACCGATTGGCAAACTGGGGAGATTTCTAGTGACTACTTCAAAGATTTCTGGATACATTAATGACGACTTAGGATATTTGGTTGCATCTATATATACTCTTAGTAACAATTTACAAATAGTGAGGACATTTTACACTCAGAGGTTTGAAGGCATAGGTTATGAACACTATCAAGAGCTTTGCCCAATTGGTTCTATATCAGATTGTTGCTTGACATTCTCCCACATCTAGGTACATGGTTTAATTTATCCAATATCTGTTCCAAGATACCTTCCACTTTCAAACTTCATAATATTTTCAAAGTGATCCCAGCTTTTCCAAATGCTATGGCACTGATTTTACCCAGAGATATAAATATTATTCCTTTGACTTCCTGTTTTCTCTCAATATTAATTTCACAACATCAATGCTCCTAGGTCGATCTGGAAAATCATGCAGCATCAGAAACAAGCATGATTCATTAATTATTATATTTAATAAAATGTTCATTTCTCTTAATTTTGATTTTGCATAACCATTTCCTCAGATCTATGCTATTTGCTTCATTCTTGTTGGTAATATCTTGTGGAACTGTAATGACCAAAGCAGGTTGGAAAATGGCCAAAATTGTTGGCACTTATTTTGTCCTTTGTGATGAGGTCACATTTGTTAAAGGGAGCATATGGTCTCATTTAATTGCTTCATTAATCTGTAAGTAGCAAAGTAGTAGAGATTCTTTGGAGATTTATCTTAATGTTGGTATTAATTCAACATTAATAATCTTTATCTTCATTTTGCCTTTTATGAGTATGAAACTATTACATGGCTTCATTTTCATTCCTACTATTTGAATATCTCCTGTAAGCAGTTTAGTTATGGTTTCATACTTACTGCTCTATCATTCAGGATAAAATTATTTAGAATATATTCAATATATAAATAGCAAATCATCTAGAGAGTAAAAGAGCATAAGTGGATGGTGGCAGATGCTTAGATCTACAGATTCATAATCCCCCACCCTTTTTTTTACTCTTGCAACGTGACTGTTGAAGATCATAAATGTAATGCAAAAAAAAAAAAAAAAAAAAAAAAAAAGTGCACAAATGTAAAATACAATCAAATAAAAGTAAATTATATGTTAACCAATGAATATGATGCATTTTAGGATGAGAAACATTAGATTTAAATAAAAAAAAAAAAAAAAAATCATTGCTCATGTGAAAATATTAAAAATTTCTAATTTCCTTTGCAGTTAATACCAAACTATACATTTATAAAATAGGTCCCTTCCTATTATAATAAATATTTTATCAGCTGAAATTTTCCAATCTTTTTTTCACCCGTAAGGAGAAAATTTCACTTGGAAAAATCTTCATGTGATGATAACAAAAGGGTGAAATTTAGTGTGTACTTATAA